TTTACCTGTTGCCAAAACAAATGCACTTGATACTTGAAAAATCAGCTAAAAACTTTGCTTAAAAAAAAAACAATTTTTTTCTCAGAAGTACTAAAATTAAAAAACTCAAGCTATGGGAACACGTATATGTAAAATATTTTTCACCGTTATGCAAACACTGGATTGTGAAATTTACAAAAGTATATTTGTCGTTAGTAGAAGCGCAATATTACTTGTGCGTAAGCTAACTGCTGAGTTGGTTTATCTATTAATAAAGTTTATTTAGATAGCGCTAGGAAAAAAACGAGTTCTAGTGATAAGCAAAAAAAGAAAGATGAAAGTTCGGACGAGTCGGAGTCTGAAAAATCAAGTAATTCAGAAGAAGAAGAAACGTCGAAGTCTTCTAAAACAAAAAGCAGTAAAACAAAATCAGATAGTAGCAGTAGTTCTGGTAATCACTCTTTTTTTGGAGTTTTTTTCTAGAATTTCTTAACCAGTGATTAAGAAACATAAAGAAACTTTGGTTAGAGATATGTTTCGACTAAATTTTGTTACTTTAAATCAAAAATTTCTTAGACACTTTTACCTTTTTTTATTCCCCTTGTTTTGTTTGCCTGTCGTTCAAAGCTATACAGAGTTACTTTTACCGACTTGGAGCAACGTGTGCGTGACAGAGGGCAGAAAATATGGAAAAATATACACGGTTTATAAATCTCATCAAAACTAACAACGGATATATCTTTAACATCTTAAACAGCTATGGTAGAACAGAAGAAAGTTGATTATTAAATAATAAAACTAAAGTTTAAAGAAAGAATATAAAATTATATCATCTGTTAAACGGGGATGTGCTTATTTAATACTTGTCTTTCTATTCTGTTTTAAACTCTCAATTAAACAAAAGGTTTCTTTGAATTTAGGATCGTCAAGTGACTCGAAGAGTAGCAGTTCCGACAGCGACTCCGGAGGTGGTAAAAAGAAAAAGGACAAGCACAAGAAGAAGAAGAAATCAAAGCATTAAGTAGTTTTTTATAAGAAGTTTTTCTTTGCATTTAAGCTAAAAAGCATTATAAGTTTATGACGAATAACGTTTTTTGACTCTCCTGAAATTGTCTTGATGCTGTTTGTTGTCAGTATGTAACTTTCTGTCAACCATCTTTAAAGATTATTTTCAACTTCTACATGAATTTATTCACCTACGAAATGAGAACGTCAAAGAGGTATCTGTCGCTGTTTCAATTTATCTCTGTAAATATTAACATTTTAGCAAATTTTTAGAAGGAAGCTGACAAGTCATCAACTTTATTGATAAACTTAGAAGTGGAAAAAAAGAAATATTGTGGTCAAAAGCCAGTTTATTAAAGCTGCTTAGGTAGGTGTATTCAAAATTGGAGTTTAGAGCCGTCTTCACTTGATAAAACATGGTAATGCTGAGCACACATTTTACTTGTCTAAAAAGGTACTATTAGACGACATACACTTTAGCAAACTTTTACTTTATGAACTGATTCCGCTATCAAAACTACCTGCTCATAGCCTAAAACGGCGTTAAAGGCACTTACAGCTGGTGATTATTGAAATGGAGAGGATTTCTGATATGTACCTTCATCAGCTTTAAAAAAAATGGTATGTTCAGGAGCAGGCAAATCGAATAAAAAAGTGAAAAAAATCTTCATTAACAAATGAACAATTTTATCGTTTAACAAGAAACAAAGACACTGCGTTACATTAATAAAATTTTTGCAACAATTTGTATCGCCTAACAGAGTGTCCTTGAAGAAGCGAAATTTTTGCTTAATACCTACGTATCCAATTGAATAAAGACCATTTCAGTTTTAAGCTGTGAATATACTAACTTCTCAATTTATTGCTTTCTAGCTTAGCTGGTGACTTTTCTTTTATCGGAACCAAAGTTTAGTGTTTGTTTAATGTAAAGTCTAATTGTACTTTTAAGTTGTTTTTCTTATGAAAATATGATAAAATAAATGTTCTTGTTAACGTACTGCGGAAGCCTATTTAAATAAAATGTTACAAAAATATATATAGCTGAAGTGATTTAGGAAAGCAGAAACAAGCCGCTTTCTGCTACGTATTCTTCACTCCAAAGTATTCTAGCAAACTAGACAACTTTCAAAAAGCATTCACTTATTATCTATTGCGCCCTTTTTTTAAACGACAAATTACTGTTTATGATATTTTACACGTCTTATGGACTTTCAAATTTATTCATACAGTTTTTCCACTTTATTTAATTTCACTATTACATAATTAATTTGAAGGTTTTTGCGCTTTAACAATCTACAGTATCAGTCTTAGACAATGACGGCTTCAGTTTTTATTATTTTACATGTTATGTTATATGTAGTAAATAAAATCTTAGATAAGAAATGAGTCCTCTGCGAAAAAAAAAAACACTAGATGAAACAAATTGCGTAGACGTATTATCCTCAACTTATAATGGTTTTCGGTTAATTGAAATTTTGGCGGTGAAAATATCAGTGAATGAAAACTTGAAAATGTTAAAAATTGCTCTAGTTTGCATGATAGTTAATCGTTCACTGTAATCTGATGTTACCGAAGGAAAAAATTGGAGTAGATTTGATCTGAAGAGGAAAAAAGCGCCATGATGCGGTAATACTTTTAACATGTCAGCAAAATTGGTGATGTCGATAAACCGTATTCTGCACTATCGATATCGATATGATCGACGAATTTCCTCAAAACTTTATAATTATGCTAAAAAAAATGTATAGATTTGTATATAACTGCATTCAACAGTCGCTTTCGATTTTGATATTTTTTTGGAGTGCAACCAGTGTAACAGGTTATCTGCGGTAGCTTTCTTATTTAAAATTAGATAATATTCTTACTGTTTGTTACAGTCAAGGAAAACATGTAGCTCTGATTAGGTCTTTGGTGGTTTAAAAAGCAGTTTAGATTTGCTTAATAATCGCTTGACACTAGAGAACAAAACTGTGATGGATTTTACACAAAATTTTTAAGATTACAGCTTTATACATTTATAGCGATTTTTAAAAATGCAAAAAAAAAAGTTCTATTTATCTACAAAAAGAAAAGAAGAAGTAAAAGTTAGCAGAATAACATTCGTTTTAGCTAGACAGGTAAATTGAAAAAGTGATGTTTGGAGGTTTTTTAACAATGGGGTCAGCGGAACGTTCCTCACTGCTGGTAAGTTCTCCGCGTTTCTCTCGCACCGTTTCAGCAATTAACTGTAAGAGCTTTGCAACCGGCGCTCCTCAGTTACCTCAGAGCAGTGCTACCAGTTGTTAACGAACTTTCAACTTGCTGCATAACCCCTACTGCGATTTCCTACTGCGCCAAATAAGACAACCCACCGATTATTTCTGTCGGCTGTTAGTAAGCTTTTCGCTCACCATTTAAATACGGTCTGTGCAAACGATGTTTTTGACGAGTGCTGCTGAAGTTATACCACTCGAAAATGCATAAAGCAGTAGCAGAAGGAAATAAATGATTTTCCGTTCTTTTTTTTCATTTGAAGCCCATTGTATCATTCCACATTCAATGCAGCCATTTTCCAAATTTAACCTTCTAATCCCTTAATACTTGCTCTATCTGAAATATAATTCTTTGTTCTCTTTCAAGAGTATCACTTTCCGAAAGCAAAAAAAAAAAAGAACTGTTAACCTACATTATTGCATTATACAAAAAGTGTTATTTGGTCACAACGACAAATCTGGAATTGTTGCAAAGAAAGAGCAGTAAAACTAAGATGCTGTAAAAGCTTTGCCAATTTTCTAATGCTCCTGTAACGAAAGGACATGACCTAGATTTAAATCTTTTAAAATTTGAAGAAAATGATTGATGATTAAACTATTCATTCTTTTCTGTGTATGTCTTATTTGTTTTCAGCAAGTTTTGGGTACCTTTGAGACTAAGTAAGTTCCTTTTTTTTGTCTTGGTTAAGCGGTTCATAAATTTTAAATCAGAAAGTTGTATAAAAAGTACATAAAGCTACACTAATAATCGATTTTATGGCGTGGATTTTTTTTGTTTTTTTTCGCTAAATACAGTGAATTTTTGGCAGAAATTTATAAAACTTTTGTCCTTGCAAACAATTTTTAGTGGATACTGTATCAGTCTGTTGATTAATCTTTCAATCTTAGTGGTTTAATTATGAGCTATTCAAGCTAAAGAACTGTCAGTACCAGTATTTTTTTTTTTTTTGTTTTCGGTTTATGATCAACACTTTAATTTATTACTTTGTCTGAGTTCCTATATAACAAAATAAAAAAACATACAAAGAAACAATTTTGCAGGAAAGATATATTTTGTAGTAAAAACAAAATTTACAATCTGAATAAATTGAAATAAGCAGGAGTAAGAAACAAAAGATTATTTTTTAAACTTCTTTTTTTCTTTTTTTTTCTTCTTTGCTATTACTGTTTTTAGATTTCAAAAACTTTGCAAAAATAATAATTCAAATTTTTATCAACGATCAATTAAACTGATAAAAATTTTCTCATCTAACAATTGGTAACTTTTACGATCAATTTGAAATTGGTGTTCGAAAACGTAGTGGTGACACGATGATAAATTAGTTTTGCAGCAATAAATTTGGTATTTTACACAACTGTGTGTGTTTGCTCAAAAGTGGTGTTCAATAAATCATTTGATCTACAAGTGATTTATCCATTTTTCCTCATTACAACAGCTATACATATACCATATACATATTATCATCGTCAACAACAGCAATAACTTTATATAGCAGCTGCTTATGTACTGTTTAACAGACCACTAAGCAACAAACTTTTCATGAGATCCTGAATTTTAAGTTATATCAATAGAATATGTTCATTTAAATATACTTTTTTTCTTTAAAAAATTTATTCAAATTAAATTTTTCAACATTTGATAGGATCTCACAGAAATCTATAACAGCATTACATGCATGAGCTGCGGCTTATATTGCCCTAACATCAATGTGACATTTATTAGGCTTCAAAATTCAAAGATCATTTTTTTTTATTTACTTCTATCTTCGTATAAATCCATCGTTACTCATAGTGAAAAATTTGCTGAACAATTCGTACTGATTGCAATTTTTTTCGCTTCTTAATTGTCTGATATGTTCTACTGAATCCTCTAATGTGTCAATGTTTGACAGTTTTTTTCTTTTATTTTATTCTTTTCGTTCAATAATACAATATTTTTATTGTTCTAAACAATAAGTAAATTGCGCTGATGTCTTGCCAAAAATAGTAAATATACAATAACAAGAACAACAGATAAATGAAAAAAGAAATTAGAGGGCTTTTTTATTGCAAATAATAAACAATTAATTTTATTTTATCGTTAATGATCTGCCCATTCTTCGATAAATGATTTTATCCGGTTTTGCCATCCATTCTGTACCACTGAAACATCCAAAAACTGTTTATACTGTTTCCAAGATACTATTTTTTACAACTCTCTTTACAGCCTTGAAATATCGACAAAAATATTATTGTTACTTCATTCTTGAAAACTTTACCATGTTTTATTTCTGTTCCACTGTTTAACTTTATCAGCAGATTTCATCGAAATACAAATCAGTGAAAAGAGTTGCTGCAAGACAACAATTTATCGACTGTTACAGTTTCCGGTGTAAACTGCTTTTGAACAAATAAGTTATAGTTTCCACAAAACGATGGCTTTTTTATTCTTTTTTTTTTTGAAAATTTGATAAAACCTTTGAGTCTGAATTTGAATATTTGAAATAATATTTGCAGCTGTATCTGTTGTCAAAACTACTTTCCCGTCGAAAGTAAAGCTTGACATTCAATCAAGACTAAACAATAAGAAACACTAAAATTGAGATCTATTTTGTACAGTCAAAATTGATAAAGCACCAAATTTTATGTATATTTTCAAATGACACTCTCCAGCGTTAGGTTTCAGATTGAAAGCCACAGTTTAGAAGAAATGTTAGCGATCGCACTGAATGCGATGTCAACTTCATTTTTTCTCACTTCTTATTTTAATTATACATTTGGTGGA